GGAGGGTTGCACGCACCCAGAGCTGCTGAGCAATGCACAGAGAAACCACCAGGCACCCAAGCACAGTGGCAGCACCAGCCCAGAGCTACCGTGAAGGACTCACAACTAAGAATAGGGTAGTTTCATACTTTTATTCCACACCATAAAAAGCCAGTGAGTTAGTGATACATACTTGAACCCCTGCAGGCTCCCAAGAAAGCCAAGAAGAGGATTGAAGGTGCTAATTCCAACGTCTTCTCCATGTTCGAGCAGGCCCAGATCCAGGAATTCAAAGAGGTAGGTGGGGTTGGTAGAAATGACCGAGGGTCCTTGATGCAATGTGACCTTCAGCTCTTTCCTCAGCACTTTCAGATCGGTGACAGCTGGTTTGCAACAAGAGGCAGAATGCCTGGTTTTGAGTCGTTTTATTTTAAAAGTGCGAATAACAACTCAGTGACATTGTTAAATATGGCATCGCCTCAAAGCTTCTTAGGAGCCCGCACCCCGCAGAGGAGCTGGCAGCGTCCAGGAGAGCTCTTCCCAGCCAGCTCCCACCCTGCCTTGCAGGAGCTCTTCACGACTTACCTCCTGCACAGCTGGCACATGGTCCTGTGCAGATCCCAGTTACAGGGATAACTGGTCCCAGCTGAGGGAGCTGATGGCTCAGGCTGTCCTCCCCAGTTGGTCTCATCCCGGGGCGAAAGGGCTTTGGCCAAGGAGAGGGTCTGTATGGCATTAGGGTTTGGGCTGCCGTAGGAAGCCATCACCCCACATCACCCAAGGGTGCAGGGGCCAAGATTGCGGCTGGATTAGGGTGACGGTTGTTGCTCCCTTGCTGGGTGAGGACCCCCAGAGCCCCATTCTGTGCAGGGCTTGAAGCGCTGTGTTCCCATCCAACTCCATGGGAGGAGGAGGAGGGTACTAAAGCCTTTGCAAAGGCCAACAGCTCTCCCTGTGCTCCCTGCCCTCCTCCTGTTCTTCCAGGCATTCACCATCATGGATCAGAACCGGGACGGCTTCATCGACAAGGCGGATCTGAGAGACACATTTGCTGCACTCGGTGAGCCCCCTTTTAGGACACTCCCCAACAGCTTTGACGATGTTAGACCTATTAAGAAAGAAACCAGCTGTGAGCCCCCATTTAACCAAGCCCCAGTGGTTAACTGGATCTCCTGTTTTGCTGAAAACCTCCTGATCCAAAACCACTTCTGTTAGCCAGTGAGATCCCACGCGGGGTGACTCAGAGCAGCTCCTGCAGCAGTGGGTGTTTAATCCCGTAGGTACTAGAGAAGAGCCAGCTCCTGGATTATACACAGCCAAATGCTCCGTGCCTTCTCGCATGCTAAGAAGCACCTGGCTGTGCCCATCCCATGGCATCCCTGGGTGTATGAGCATTAGGGGGATTTATGGGATTTGTGGGAAGCTGTGAAGTTATGAGCTTGGCTCTCATCATGGAGACCAGCAGGAACCAGCGATGGGTCCAGGGAGTCCCAAAGACAACCCAACCTCAGGTAGAAGGATGTAGGCATTCAGTCCTGTTCACTTCTGACACCAGGGGCCAGGGGGAACCAGAGCACTGGTGGTTTTGACCCAAAACATCTTCCAAGGAGGGCTGAAGCAGGCAGATCCATGAGGCAGTGTGGCAAGGCAAGGAAGCAGCACAGCTCAGTCCTGTGCAGCCCTCTCTTCTGTGATCCTGGAGCCTGAGAAACCAGGGTTGGAGATGTCCAGCCCACCCATCCTCTGCCAGCATATGATTCTCCCTTCCTCACTTCTGCTACTGCCGTTCCTTGTTGGAGGTGGCTCCCCAGGGCTGTGCCGCTTCTCTTGGGTCGTGGAAAAAACCTCCAGGGCAAGGCTCCCATGGTGTGTCCTTTAGTCCCTGGCACATAGAGCAGAGCCCAGAGGTCTGCACACACTTGCAGCCAGACAGGGACATGCAATTCACCCAACACTGCTCTCCCCTAGGGCGCCTGAATGTGAAAAATGAGGAGATCGATGAGATGATAAAGGAGGCGCCCGGCCCAATCAACTTCACCGTGTTCCTCACCATGTTTGGGGAGAAACTCAAGGGTGAGAGGGTACCCGGGGAGCTGGGGGGGGGCTCGGCGGGCCCCCACACCACCACTGATATCCCGTCCCACTTGGGGAAGCCACCCAACTCCCAGGGCCTCCATCACCCTTCCAGGTGAGACCCGTCAGAGGCTCCTTGGAGGCCTCAGATGGGAGCTGCTAAAGGAAAGGTAGGTGGCACCGACTGCCATACTGCAGCATGCAGAGCCCAGGAGGTGGGTCAGAGCAAAGATGCCTCCCACACCACAGCCAAGAGGTGACACCTGGGGACGACCACAGGATACCCGTGAAATGATCTCCCTCACCCATCCCTCCCACATCCCTTAGTGCCACCTTCTCCCAGTGGCAGCACAGGGCCCCCCCCAAAGACAGAGGCTTTGGTGGGACCATCACTGGCAACAACCCCTCTCCCCAGCAGCTCCAGTCCTCATCCTCCAAATCCTGGACTTGGGTGCTCTCCCTGCCTTCCTGTCCTGAGACACTGCAGATAGGATAAACTCAGCGTCATGTACCCTGAGCAACTGTCCCCGGGGAGGACCCTGTGCCCCAAAACTCATGCTGACTTGCAATACCAACAGTCCCAAAGGCAGGGCTGGGGCTGCCTGTCCAGAGACCTGGATCTCATCCCATGTCCCCTCAACCTGTTGGGGGCTATGAGCTGGTTTCCGTGCCTCAGTTTCCCCAGCCATTAAAAAAACCCCAACAGTCTGTGATGCTGCTGTCCCCACAGAAAGAAAGGATGAGATCTTGCAGTGCCTCTGAGCCTGCTGATACGAATGGTAGCACCGATGGCCACCCTGGCAAGGGCACTGGCTACAGCGTGACTTTGACCCAACAGCCCCATCCGCTGCACCCCGTATCACTTACACAACCCAAGGCATGCAGCCTCCCTGCAGATCTCCAGGAGGCTACGCGGCCCCAAGGGCCTGTGCCTGGAGCTCTATAAATACACACGAAAGATTAGATAGACTCCGGATGCCAGGGTGATGGCGACACAGCCTGCTTTGTAGACACACCACGACCCTACGTCTACTCCTCTATGTGCCACCACCCGTGCGCAAGGCCCCGGCTAGCGTGGGAAGGCTGTGGGGTTGACATTCCTGCAGGGACCCCACTTCCCAGCCTGCCCCCCATCTTTCCCCCGAAGGCTGGGGGAAGCAGGAGGCTGCAGCTGGCTTCCTCCTCTGCCACCTCCAATGGCTGTGGCCATGTCACCCACAGGTGCTGACCCAGAGGAGACGATCCTGAATGCGTTCAAGGTGTTTGATCCAGAGGGGAAAGGCTTG